AGGACCCCACCGTCGTTCTCCTCTCCTTTCATCTTTCTCCCCTCTGCATCCTCCTGCTCCTCCTCCCCCTCCCCTTCCTCCTCCTCCCCACAAACCCCACTACCTACTAGTACTAATGGTGTTACCTAGCTGGGTCATGAAAGGTCTGCAGGAAAACCATCCCAAGCTCAGAGAGCACCAAGGACCCCCCCTGGATATAAAGTTAAAAGAAATGCCAGGACCTGAGCTGGCAGGGACCTGCACCTTACCAACTATAATGCTCTTCTGATCCCAGTGGGCAGGATGGTTCATTTCCAGCACTCTCACCTACCTGTAGCTGATACGGTTTCCCAGCCCGGATTAGTTGGGAGATCAAGAAACTGGTATGGAAAAAGTGCACGTTTTCATCCAGAAACCCGTGGAGGATCAGCAAGCGGTTGGGCCTGGAAAGGAGAGAGGGGGAAAAATGATCCAGGGTAAGTTTCAACCGTCCCTACTTGGTCAGTGAGGAAAGAGAGACTTCTGGCCCATGATTAGACAAAAGATATCCATTACCAAAGCGGCCACAGAAGAGGCAAAGCTGGATCTGAGATTTTCGCGCGCAAAGGATATAATTAACATTCCCTTTCCCCCATTTTCCTTGTCTTAGAAAACTGCCCTTGTTCTCATGGCTTCTTCCTGTTATATCTGTCTAAACACAATGGATCATTAACAGGTTTCTGTTGGGTCAGAATGACTTAGGATCTCTTACATTAATCTTTAAGCCAAGAAATGCAACCCCCCATTCCAGCCAAGAACATGACATTTTATTTTTAAAACATAACAAGTTACAAAACATAATATGTTGTTAGGTAGTCATATAACTGTCCAGTAATCATTTTATAGGTTATATATCAGATAAACATGGAATCTCTCCTGTTCTTCATTTTCTCAGATGTAACTCACAATATATGATTTCCACATATAACAAGGGTCAACCGTCCCTACTTGGTCAGTGAGGAAAGAAAAGACTCATGGCCCATGATTAGACGAAGGATATACATTACTAAAGCCAAAGTGGCTGTAGAAGAGGTAAAACTGGATCTGAGATTTTCGCGCGCAAAGGATACAATTAACATTCCCTTTTTCCCGGCCAAACCCCTAGTTAACGCCCTGGTTATCTTGAACCCTTGACAAATGTATCTTTTCTTTTATGTATACTGAGAGTATTTGCACCAAGACAACTTCCTTGTGTGTCCAACCACACTTGGCCAATAAAGAATTCTATTCTATTCTATTATCGGTTGATGCACAATTAGGTGTTCACAAATTCTTTGGGAAACAGTCCCTGTCTTGGTGCACTTGCCAGCTCCACATTCCTTTGGCATGTCCTCGAGTCCCGGGATGGAATGGCTTGGTTTTGATTTCTCTTGGTTCCCTACCCCCCTGCTAAAATCCCCCATTACTGATGTCAGGCTGTCAGCTTGCCATGCGCAGCTTAGAAGAATGGCAGCCATGACAATAAGACTGATGGAGAAGCAATTATGAGAAGATGACTGTTACAAATCTTTAAGGGGATAACCAAGTTAAATGATTATTGGGATTTAAAAGAGAACTCATTAGATGAGATACAAGCTGTAGGGGTGGCACACTTTAATTGGTATTTGTAGGGGAAATTTTTGTTTTAAAAATGTTTTGCATTAAGGTGGGATGTTTGAAATGATGAAACGAGGATATGCGATGAAATTGTAATCATGACAGATAAAAGTATAAGCATAATGAATATGATGATATGAGAATTATTTAAAGCTAAAAGAAATAGGCTAAGGAATGAATTGAAAATTTACAAATAAGCCTGAGGAAAGTATTGAGGTGAGAAATTAGAGAACATATGTAAAGTAGAGATAAGATAGGAACTAAAGGTGAAAAACGAATAGGCAAACTGAATTATGTCTGTATGGAGATATGAAAACCTGGAATCATGCTGTTCACTAGAAAGAGATTTTTTTAAAAAAATGTGGAAAATTGAAACAAAACTTTTATTAAAAAAAAAAGACTGATGGAGAAGCATGCCAACCCTTCCCTGGACAGACGTGACTGGGCGAGGGGCCAAGGAAATAGGCTTGGGGAAACAGCGGGGAAGGCGAGGTGTGGAGAGTCAGAGGCCGTGTTTGCAGAACACAAAGCAAGCAATATTATATATATTATTGTATTATTGTATTATTATTTTATTATATCAATTTATTATGTGATTATTCTCTTTTATTAGTTTTATTGTTTTATATATGAGGTTTTTATATATTCCTGTAAGCAGCCTTGAGTTGCCCTGTGCGAAGAGGCAGCAATATAAATTTCCTGAAAAAATAAAAAAGATAAAATATATAGTTTGAAAGGGTTCAAGCTAAGCCACAACAACATGGGTTTATTTGCTTCTGGCTTGGTGCAAAATTTCAAAATCCTACCACTTTTTGGGCTTTTACAACCAGGTCGGGGTTGAAATCCAAAGAGTCACCTAGACAGCATAAACATTGAATAAATCCAATCAATGAATTAACACCAGTAGCAAAGCTTGTGTTTGACTTTTGGGGCGACTCTGCATGTTTTGTGAATCTAGCCAGGTAAGATCAAAGCCAGGCAAGGGGTTAATCGAAGGATCGAAGGTGTGTTTTCTGAACCGACAGGATCTGGGCTCCCCAACCCAAAATTCTGGAAGAGATATATCTTTCTCACTGCCTTTACCAAGGGGGTAGTAGGTGTTTTGGGAAGGTGGCTCCTAATGGAAGATGAACGATGCACAGGTGGCCTTCAACTTACAACCATAAATTGAGCCCTAAATTTCTGTGGCTAAGCAAGACAGTTGTTAAGTGAATTTTACCCCATTCTAAGACCTTCCTTGCCACAGATGTTAAGTGGAATTGGCTTCCCCATTAACTTAAAATTAACCAGTGGAACAGCTTACCACCAGAAGTTATGGGTGCTTCCTGACTGGAGGTTTTTAAGAAGAGACTGGACAACCATTTGTCTGAAAGGATCTCCTGTCTCAGTAGGAGGCTGGACTAGAAGACCTCCAAGGTTCCCTCCAGCTCTGATTGCTTCTGATTGATGTAGACAAATATTTCAGAAGAGGAGGTCTTTATCTAATAATTGAGACGGGTTATTTTGCGTGCTTTCAAACTGCTGGGGGAGGCAGGAACTGAAGCAAGTCACAGGAGCTCACCCCATCCAACAGCGCTTGGGGCTCGAACCCAGGCTGTCAGCTTCCCAGTTTGACCAGCTCAGCGTATTTAACTGCATTTAAATTTAAATTTAAATTGTATTTAACAATTTAATTTAATTAAATTGCACCGCACTATGGCTGTGAAAACATTCAAGGTTCCCTTCCAACTCTTGTTATTCTGACTCTGCTTGTCTGAAGGTCGCAAAAGGGGATCGATATGACCCCGAGACACTGCAACCGTCATAACTACAAGCTGGTTGCCAAGCATCTGGATTTTGATTACATGACCGTGAGGATGCTTGCAAGTGTGAAAAACGGCCCTAAGTCCCTTTTTTCAGCACTGTTGTAATTCTGAACGGTCACTTAACGACCTGTTGTTAAGTTGAGGACTACCTGTACCCAAATGTGTGTGAGCAGTCCAGACTTAACGTGGCGGTTTGCATAGCCTCAAGGGGACGCGCGGTGGCTCAGTGGCGAAGACGCTGAGCTTGTTGATCAGAAAGGTGGGCAGTTTGGCGGTTCGAATCCCCAGTGCCGCGTAATGGAGTGAGCTCCCGTTCCTTGTCCCAGCTTCTGCCAACCAAGCAGTTTGAAAGCATGTAAAAAAATATGCAAGTAGAAAAATAGGGACCCCTTTGGTGGGAAGGTAACTGTGCTCTGTGTGCCTTCGGCATTTAGTCATGCTGGCCACATGACCATGGAGACGTCTTCGGACAGCGCTGGCTCTTCGGCTTTGTAATGGAGATGAGCACCGCCCCCTAGAGCCGGAAACAACTAGCTCTTAGGGTTCACCGACAGCAGGTGTGGACGGCTGAGGTCTCTGAGAGCGAGGACTTGAATGAGGGGCCTGCGTATGATGCAAGGATGGGGCCAGGACCATCAGGGAGTGGAGTGAGGCCTTCGGAGATTGTGGAGGCTGGCAGCAGTGAGGAAGAGGACCCCGAAGAGCCTGTGCCCAGTGCAAGTGCGCGCACAGGGCTGCTCGAAGGAAAGAGCAGCTGCAGCAGCACGGGCGACTCGGGAGTAAGGCGGCAAGGTGATGGCCCCTCCCTGAGGAGATAAAAGACAGCTGAGAAACCAGAGTTCTTTGCAGGAAGCAAAGAAGTTTTTGCACTCAAGCCTTGTGGATGTTCGGAATATCTTGGTTGGTGGTTTGGAGACTCTTTGTGTTTGAAATATTTCTTAGTAACTTTATGTAATGTTCTTGGCAGCCTTGCGAAACCTTGGCAAGGCTCTTTCTTATTGGAGCTAATTGGTTTGAAGCCTTTTTTACCCATGAAGGAACAGGATTCGTAAAGAAACATTAAAAGGTTGTGCCGTTACCGTTGTCTCGTGTTTGCTTCCTTGGAACCAGATTGGGGTCAGAACACTAGCACGTCTGTGCAAGGGGAACCTTTACCTCGCCTAACCTCACCTGACTTGTCCATCTCAATGTGGAGATGTTGTGAATTTTGCTGAGGGGGCCTCACCCTTGTATACCCCTCCCTCCATGCTCCCCCCCCACCCCACCCGAGATCCTCCCATAATACTCACTCGTTAGGCAGTTTCTCAACATGCAGGGCCACTGAGCCCGCTTCGTAGCCTTGCTGGTTGTTCTCTGGGACATCCATGTACCGCTCCGTGTATCCGGTATCGTAAGCCATCCAGACGGTGACGGGGGCTCCTGCTATGGCGACCTACGGGAGGAGAACGGAAGATAAGATAAACCCAGAGCGGAGTCTTCCTAGTTCAAACACACACACACAAACACACACACACACACACGGACCTGCTGCACACATTTGGCCAAACAGCAAACCTGTTTGATAAAATTCATCTATGAATTTTATCACGGTTGTTAAGTGAATCTGGCTTCCCCGTTGACTTTGCTTGTCAGAAAAATGGCCAGTGGAACAAAAGCTGTTCCAGTGGTTCATTGTCCTCACCATTAGGAAGTTTCTCCTTAATTCCTGGTTGCTTCTCTCCTTTTAAATAAATTTATTTATTCAACGTTTCGTCAGTTAAAAACCAATTTTCACATTTTACAATGTTGCTAAAGCAGCGTATACATTTGCATTTCACTTCTATTAACGTTATACATCTTTGCATTTACTTTTTTGTCATTTTAAGCATTATATATACATACATGCATATTTATTTACATTTATTCACACATAAGCCTTATTGTTTTATGATGTTATAAACTTATCATTCAACTTATTTTCCTTATCTGTTCATACCAGACATCCCATATTTTATAATATTCTCCTTCTTCCTTATCTTTCAATAACTTCGTTAATCTATCCATCTCAGCACATATTTATGTACTTCATTAATTATTATGGATTCTGTGAGGGGGTCATAGCCTGCTTCCAATTTTGGGCGAAAGTAATTCGGGCAGCCGTTATGATATGGAGCATCAGGTATTGATATTTCTTGTTCATGTTCGGTTCTAGCATGCCGAGTAAAAAAAGTTGTTTAAATTTTATTCTCTGTTTTGTTATTTCCTCTAACCATAACCTAATTTTTGCCAGTATTTCCGTGCAGGCCCACCACATATGAAAGTATGTTCCCTGTTTATGGTTACATCTCCAACATTTAGGTAATGTATTTGGAACATTTTGGCTGGTCTCGCTGGGGGTAGATAGGTTGTTTCTCTCCTTGATTAGTTTCCATGTGTTGTTTTCCTTGTTCTGCTTTTGGGTGCTTTGGAGAACAGCCCGACTGACCCCCCTCTTCTTTGTGGCAGCCCCTCAGATATTGGAAGGCTGCTATCATGCCACCCCTGGTCCTTCATTTCATTAGACTAGACCTACCCAAATCCTGCAACCGTTCTTCCTATGTTTTAGTCTCCAGGCCTTTAATCATCCTAGTTGATTATATACATAATATATTCTTCTTGTTAAATAAGGACGAGAAAGTAACTACTGTGTTTCTTCCAAAATAAAGAGCTGCTCCTATTTTCTTTTGGGCCCCAAAATATGTACCAGGTCTTATTTTGGGGGATGTCTTACCCACTTACCTTAGGGGACCACCGCAGCCAGGCCCCAACCTGTTGTGCCATAGACCGACTCCTTCCGCAGCTCCTCACAGCTACTTGCAGCCAGCCACAGGGTGGGCTCATCATGCCGGTGCTGCTTGTGGCAGGAGGCTGTGTGGTGCATTGTGCTGCGGCACATGTGAGCAGCAGCAGCAGCAGCAGCACCCGCATGACGTGCCACGTGGCCAGATGGTGAGTGGGGAATAACTAGAGCTTATATTTGGCGCAAGTGTGAAAAAACGGGCTAGGGCTTGTTTTCGAGGCAGACCCATTGTGTAAGGGCAGGATAATTTATCAAGCTTTTTATTTCTTTTTTTTTTTGGATACTGGATGTTTGTGTCATTTTCTTTCTTTTTTTCCCTTTTTTGTACATGTTTTTTTTGTTCTGTTGGATATATGTTTTTTTCTGTTTTATATTTTATTCCCATTGATAAAACATATATTTATACTGTTTTATTTACATATATATATATCTATATATATAAAAGCAAAAGACCACTCATGCATCCCACAAAATTTCCAGAACCGTAAAGCCTACAAACTTGAAATTTGGCACTTATGTTCCTCTTGGCTTCTAGGTGCTCCCTAAGAAAGGATTTTTCAAAATGACCATCAGAGCATTAGTATTTCCTATATTATTATTATTATTATTATTATTATTAATTATTATTATTATTATTATTATTATTATTATTATTATTATTATTATTATTATTATTATTATTATTATTATTATTAACACGCTCTGATGCTAAGGAGTTCTACTCCCCCTCTCCACCTGAAAAGAAATCTCTTCCAAAGGCAAAACACAAGCAGAGGAGAGGAGGTTCAGTTTCAGTTTTACTTTCACAGCACCAAGCAGCTTTAAGTACAGAACAGTTGAGCCCAGGGTCCCTGCTGTCTCCTTCTTGCTCACACGGCAAATAATTGCTTCTGTTTCCAAACAGCCCTCAACTCTCTCACACACTGACAGGACACTAGCCAGATGAATACCGATGGATGCTGGTAGGCAGAGGCAGAATCCCCCACCCCCCCACCCCAATTTTTAGTTTTATTTTACACACACTCACACACACACATACATAGTATACAAAATGTGAGTAGATAAACAGGTATCCCTTTGATGGCAAGGTAACAGTGTTCCAGGCGCCTTTGGCATACAGCCATGCCGTCCCATGACCACGAATGCATCTTCGGACAACACCGGCTCCTTCGGCTAGCAAAAGGAGATGTATACCACCCCCTAGAGTCGGGCAGACCTTTTAGTTTTTCAGTGGGTCCCAGACAGGCAGCAAGGCTCACCTTGAAAACATGGGGCTTGTAAATGAGCCCCACCAGGGAAAGGAAACCTCCGTACGACCAGCCATGGATGGCCACGCGGCTGAGGTCGACGAACCCGTATTTCTCCGCGACATAATGTAAACCTTCCACCTGATCCTCGATCTCCACCTGGCCCTGAAAGGGGGATTGCAGAGAAAAAGGGGAAAAAAAATATCAAAGGTTGGAAGGGACCTTGGGAGGTCTTCTAGTCCAGCCTCCCGCTCAAAGCAGGAAACCCTATACAGTCCTTGGCTTACGACCACAATTGGGCCCAACGTTTCTGTTGTTGTTAAGGAAGGCAGAAACTTTTGTTGTTAAATGAGTCTTGCCCTGTTTTACGACTTTTCTTGCTACAGTTAAATGAATCTCTGCAGTTAAGTGTTGTGGTGCGCCGGCAGCAGGTGAGGACGGCTGAGGTCTCGGAGAGCAAGGACTCAGACGAGGGGCCTGCATGTGATGCAGGGATGGGGCCAGGACCATCAGGGAGTGGGGTGCTGCCTTCGGAGATTGTGGAGGCTGGCAGCAGTGATGCAGAGGACCCCGAGGAGCCTGTGCCCAGTGCAAGTGCGCACAGGGCTGCTCGAAGGAAAGAGCAGCTGCAGCAGCACGGGCGACTCGGGAGTAAGGCGGCAAGGTGATGGCCCCTCCCTGAGGAGATAAAAGCCAGCTGAGACACCGGAGTTCTTCGCAGGAAGCAAAGAAGTTTTTGCACTCAAGCCTTGTGGACGTTCGGAATATCTTGGTTGGTGTTTGGAGATTCTTTGGGTTTGAAATATTTCTTGGAAACTTTACCTAGTGTTCTTGGCAGCCTTGGACCACCTTGGCAAGGCTCGTTCTTATCAGAGACAATTCGTTGGAAACAGCCTTTTAATGGGGGAAGGAACGGAATTCGTAAAGAATCATTAAAAGATTTTGCTGTTACCTCCGTTTGGGGTTTGCTTCCTTGGAACAAGGTTTGGGTCAGAACAGTTAGTTAACACGGCTGTTAATTGAATCTGGCTTTCCCCATTGGCTTTGCTTGTTAGAAGGTTTTAAACGAGGATCGTGTGACCCCGCAACCCTGTGAGCGTCATAAATGTCAGTCAGATGCCAAGCATCGGAATTATGATCATGTGACCACGGGGATGTCGTAACAATCTTTTAAAAGTTTGAAAAATGGTCATAAGTCCCATTTTTCATCATTATCGTCTTTTAACGACACCGTAATCCTTTGTGGGGTGGAGTCGGGGCAGCTGAATGGCGTGTTTACTGGCCGGATGCCCTTCCTGTCACCAATGCAGAGTTATATTCAGCAGATATATATATTCTCATTGTGTCCAGAGAGGGAAATACCTGCCTCCTTAGCTAGGATCGAACTCACAGCCTCCTGATTGCGAGGCGAGAGCTCCACCACTAGGCACCACTCAAACCGTGTGGCCACGATCATGTGATCAACCTTCAGATGCTTTGCAAAGGGTTCGTACTTATGACGGTTGCTGTGTCCCAAGGCCACGTGATTCCCCCGTTGCGACCTTCCGACCAGGAAAATCAGCAGGGACACCCCGCTTCGTTTTAACGACCGTGTTGCTAAGAACGACAAGGATTCACTGAACAACTCTGGCAAGTAAAGTCGTAAAAGGGGGCAAAGCTCAAGGGAACAAATGCTTAACAACACACAAGTGTTGGACTCGATTGTGGTCGTAAACCGAGGACTCCTTGCAAGAGGATAAAATAAACAATGGAAAAGAACGCAACGAGGATATATCAATAGGATAATATCAGTGGTGGGATTCAAGATTTTTTTTACTACCGGTTTTGTGGGCGTGGTTTGCTGGGCGTGGCTTCGCTTGCTGGGCGCTCCTTGCTGGGCGTGGAAGGGGAAGGTTACCGTAAAATCCCCATTCCCTCCCCACCCCACTAACCTGCTTTCCAGCTCCGTTCTCCTGTGCAAGGCAACCAAAGAAGACCCAGCCAATCAGCTGGGACTCAACGGGAGGCGGAGGATAGATGGGGGCGGGGCCCAGTCAGGGGTGGGATTAGCCAGTTCTCCAAACTACTCAAAATTTCCACTACCGGTTCTCTAGAACCGGTCCGAACCGGCTAAATACCACCTCTGGATAATATAACCTATGCCGATATAATAACGATGTCATATTTTACCCTGTCGGAATTGCAAAACGGGAGGCCAGATCCACAGGACGGAGGTAAGGAGAGAACTTACCATCTGATTCTTAAGAGCTCCCTCGAACTTAAGGCCTCTCTGGCATGAGCCTCGCCCGTCTATCACCACCACGGCGTAGCCGAGGGACGCCAGCGTGTTCAGCCGCAGGTACTTGATCCCTTTGAAGGAATTATTCACTAGCTGGACCTAGGAGACGAGCAAAGGACAAGGGGGGGGAGGAGAAATAAGGCCCCCATCTGTTAAGGGAACCAGCTCTTTGAGGGATATTGAAAATGTTGCCAAGGTAGAATCCCAAAGGTGCTTTTTTCAAGAGGCAACTGTTTTTACTTTGAAGACGTTTCGCTTCTCAGCCAGGAAGCTTCTTCAACTCAGACTGGATGTTGGGAAAATAGAAGAATTGATACTCCTTGCAGACAGCTGGTCATTTGCATCTTTTGAGAGAGTCATTGAGGCCACTTGGAAGTTGACCCAAGTTAGGATACGGGTCAACTTCCAAGTGGCCTCAATGACTCTCTAAAACAGGGGTGTCAAACTCAAGGCCCGTGGGCCGGATCCGGCCTGCGGGGTGCTTAGATTGGGCCTGCGAGGCCGCCCTGGAAACCGCACAGGATCGGCCTGCGGTGGCTCTTGTTCAAAGTTATTGCAGCCTAAATTCAGTGCCGGAAGAATAAACACAGGTGGCTGAGGCTTCAGTTAACTTCTGCATAAACACAAGTCAATTTTACAATACCAGTTGTAGATTTCTCCAACACGGTGCAAACTCAAACAGAAGCAGACATGTTACAGGTTCAGAGCAGGAACCTCAGAAACGGACATCAGTTTCACTTTAGTTCGGCAGACAAGCAAGCGAGTTAAGTTTCTCTTTCCTTTTAGAGCTGAGCACAGAAGAGAGAGAAACCAAGCCCAGATTCTCTCTTTTAAGTTTCAGCCCTCAACTCAGCTCTCATTGGCTGACCTGGTTCCTAAGCTCTATTCCAGTTCATGAATATGCAACAAAAATGGAGTTCTGGAAGGCTGTGTGCAGTCCTCCCACGCTTAATGAATGTGATGGCCTCCTGCAGCCCTCTGCCAGCAAAGAGGGAGTTTGAGGGGGCCACGTTGGACGAGGGCTGCGGGAGCCCATTTTTGTGGCAGAGCATTCGGCCCAGCACAGGCGCCCCCAACATGAGCGAGGTCATGCTGGCCGTGCCCACCCCGGCCACAACTTTAATGTGGCCCTCCATGAAATCAAGTTTGACATCTGTGCTCTCAAAGAATGCAAATGACCAGCTGCCTGCAAAGAATCAGGAAGAAGCTTCTCGAATAAGAAGGGAAACATCTTCGAAGAAAAAGAAAAAAAACAGAAAGCCCAGTTGCCTCTTGAAAAAAAGCATATTTGATGTGCTAGCCCCTTCGAGATTGGCTAAAATGTATCCTAATTGAAGCCCAAATTGTTGGAAATGTAAGCAGTTACAGGGTACCTTCTTTCATGTATGGTGGCTAGGTCCAAAAATTAAGAAATATCAGACCAAAATACGAAAATGGTTAAAGGAAATTACGAAAGTCCAAACAGAATTTAAAGCAGAAATATTTCTCTGGGGAATTATCAAAGAGAATTATACAAAAGAGATAAAATATCCGATCCTGCATATAATATCAGCAGCGAGATTAGCACTTGCACAACGTTGGAAAGGAGATTCTATGCCAACAGATAGTTTAATTATCCAAAAGATTTTCGATTGCGCGGAAATGGACAAACTTACATTAGAATTAAAAGAGAAGGAAGACTCAGATTATTATACAGTTTGGGAAAAGTGGTATCGCTGGATAAATAATAGAAACAAGCAATTAAATAAATAAGGAATGTATAATTTAGAAAGATAGATGTATATAAATATATAAGAACAATTAGGAGTATAAAATATGCACTGGAATAACAATTGAAACGTAAGCACTGTCAAAATTGATGGTAATATACCCCTTTAAACATTCGTATTATAATTTGTGTTTTAATGTTTCAACTTTTCAATAAAGGTTATATATAAAAGAAAAAGGGGGAAAAAAAGCATCTTTAGGACAACCAGGACTTGGATGCCTTGAGAATCTCGCTCACCTGTGGCCCACCGTAAACAAAGAGCACCGTGGGATGTTTCTTCCCAGGTTGGAGGTCATGTGGCTTGTACACCATCCCGTAAAGCTCGACATCCGACGGGGTGTGGAAATGAAAGATTTCGGGGGGGATGTAATCCGCAGGACAGCCTGCAAAACACGGGGAAGCAGAGCGGGGGGGGGGGGGGGCACCCCCTGGCATCCCCGCGTGATTCCCCCCTTTTGCGACCTTGTGGCAAGCAACGTCGGTGGGGAAAGCCAGATCCACTTCACGACCACGGGACTTAACTTCCTAACTGTGGTGATTCGCTTCACAACTGCGGCACAAAAGATCGTAAAACGAGGCGAAACTCACTCAACAAATGTTTCCCCGCTAGCAACAAAAATGTGGGGTTCCATTCTGGTTAAGTCGAGGACTGCCTATAAGGCTGGCGCGCAAAAGGGCCCTCTTGGCGGTGGCCCCTTCTTTATGGAATGTCGTTTCCCCTGAACTAGGGTTGGGGGTCTCCATCCTCTGGCTTTTCTGTTAAGGCTCTAAAACCATGGTTTTGCTAGGGGGCCAATGGGACGGAGCCCGTTGAGTGGTTGATTTGTGTTGTTGCTGTCACAGAGGTGTGTGTTTGTGTGTGAGAGAGAGACAAAAGAGAAAGAACGGAAGACAGAGAGGGAGACACAGAGAGAAAAAGGAGAGAGAAAGAGTGGGAGTGATGGAGAGAGAGAGAGAGAGAGAGAGAGTGAAAGAGGCAGTGAGTGTGAGAGATTGATGGAGAAGGAGACAGAGAGAAAACGGAGGAAGAGAGAGAGAGAGAGACAGAGAGGGAGTACGATGGAGAAAGAGAGGGAGAGAGAAAGAGAGAGGGAGAGAAAGAAAGAGACAGAGTGAGAGTGAAAGAGTGATGGAGAAAGAGACAAAGAGAGTGGGAGAGAGAAAGAGAGAGAAGGAAGAGAGAGAGAGTGTGTGTGTGTGATGGAGAAATAGAGAGGGAGAGAGAGAAAGAGACAGAGAGGGAGAGTGATGAGGAAGTAGACAAAGAATGGGAGACCGAGAGAAAAAGGAAGAGGAAGGGGGAGAGGGAGAGAGAA